CTTAGCGATCCCACACTGCTTCCTGTAGCCTCAGAGACATTCCACTGAGCCTGTTCTAGGATGATGCCATGTCGGAAACTCAAGCCTGCCGAACTATTACCTATAAAACTTTTCCTTTTGAAGGTTTCAATATCGTGGGCATCTTCAGTCATTTGCTGCAGCTAACCATTTTAGCGCTCTTTAAGACTACCAAGACTGACCCTAGGACCCTGCCAAAAGCTACTGGTGTTAGAAATCTCCTGTGCACAAAAAGTTTAATGTTTTTAGGCGTGCTGTCTGTCTAGAAAAGAACACTATCTTAATTGGGAAAATGATCTTAATTGGGGAAATTAAACTATTAAATCAATCAGTCTTACAGTATTTTAAATCAATATTCTACATGCTAACTTTCCCAGCAAAATGTATGTGTTTCACTCAGAGCAGATCTTCATGATGTAGTGGCATCAGTGCTATTGTGACCCGGGAAAGACACACAAGGGTCACATTTACAAACCAGAAGACTAGTGCTAACACCTTATGGACAACATGTTCTTTAAATTATTTTGCCAATACATTTATATTCGCATTTCTCTCACCTTACAACCCAGTAATTTAAGAGCTTTGTCTTTCATCTCTTCAACAAAAATATGTGTTAGACTCCTGCTTTTGCTAGGCCATATGTGGATTCAAAGAATTTAGTGATGATCAGGAGCTGTCATGATCCTTACTGTCCAGGAGTGAGACAAAAATTACTCAAATCAACCACCCCAATGTAAGCGAACTACCATGCTAGCAGTATTGTCTTAGTTACTTTCTTGTTGCTGGGGCAAAAAACCCAACACCCACAAGATGAAAGAGGAAAGGTTTAAGAGAAATACTCCATGCGTGGCCCGGCAGGAAGGCAGCAAGCAGCAGCATGGAGCCTCCCTTTCCCTTTTATTCCACCCAGGTTACAAGACTACTGGATGGTGCCACCCACACCCAGGATGGGCCTTCCCATTATTCACACCCAGAACTACGCTAAACCAATCTGTGGACTAATTTAGTTATCACACACACTTAGTCTATATTTAAACACCCTAGATCCAGCCACTTCTGAAAAACTCCACCTACGAGTGCATGAGGTTTGGGGGGAACATCTAGACACAAGCCATTGTTGAATGGCTAGATGCAAATATTGTTGAATTATTCTAGTTCTTCTTCTCAGGTTGTCTGGCAGTGAGCTGTCTGTAATCGGGTGTCCTTTACTCCACTGAGAGGACCAGTGGCTGATTCTAGCTTTCCACAGGACAGGGGCTACATTAATTCTAAGATGTGGGCAACTGGTATTTTATGGCACTCTCCAACAACATCTGAGACCTAAGATCAGACTGCTGAGTTCCTGAGAGAAAACTGTTTGTTTTGCTCCCTGCCTTCCCTCTCTGTGACATGCAGCTCTCGGGTTTGCCTTACCAAATGGGTGAGCAACAGGAAGTCAGGTCTTTCCGTACTGAAATTAACAAACTCAACCTAAGCATGATTTTTAAAACCATGTTAGCAGTATAGTGGCACGTGTGCCTTTCCAACTTTCTCCGTAGGAGGAGAAACCTTCCTAGTGATAATTTTGCTCACAAAGGGAACTAGTAGTAACTTACTGATGTGAAGTTTAGCGAAGGCTGCTCTGGGAAGTAATGAGATGAAGTCAGAAAGAAGAACTAGTGTAAACTGGACAGTGAGCATAAGGAATCATGTCTCAGGCAGAGGAGTAAGCAAACGTTAAGACTTATGCTCTTGCTCCTAGGAAAAGGTCAGGAATGAATCTAACGTGGTCAGATTACCATGGTGGTAGGAGATGAACCAGGAAAGACATGCAAGACTCTGTCATGCAGGATGCTGGTGGTGGTGTGCACCACACAAATCTTCATATATATTTGTTGGTGCAGGGGTAGGGAAGGCTGGTACTTATTTTGCCTTCTGAAAACATCCCTTTGCATAGGGCGAAGAGAGAAACAATGAAAGAGGAGAACAAGTTGGGAGGAAAATATAGAATCCCTGGTGAAAGTAAATAGTAAGTAGAACTAGAAGGATAGCAGTGACATTTAGGCCAGTGGAAAATTTCCAGACTCCAGATCTCTCCAGACTGGATGATATGGAGGGAGAAGGAGGTGTCCCAAATGCTCCCTCAGATCCCGAGGTTGAGAACTCTAGAAGAGCCCCGCTAGGCTCACTCTGGGAGTGGGAAGGAGGCAGAGAGGGTTGGAATTTGAAGGTGCTGTGTACACAGTGCTTTGAAGGATCTAAATGAAGCTGTTAAGTACCCAAAGCTCTGATGGGCGTTCTAGAAAGAAAATATAAATTTATTCATATGGACACAGAAGAAATTTTCCTGTAGCTCAAAGTTCTCTTCACTTTGGAGCTGCTTGTACCCTTTCCGGCCATGTCCTTTGATAGAGAGAATAGGAAAATATGGAAGTACAAAAGTTTGAGGGTTTGATATTTCATCTTCTCCTCCCTCCTCCCCACCACTCCTCTTCCTCCTTCATCATCATCTGTTCACATTAGACCATCTGGACCAAGCCTGCAGATTTTTCTTGTTCTTCTTTCTGTTCTAAGCCATGTCTCTAAAAAGGCCTTTTTCAGAAATGCTGCCGACCTCCTTTCTCCCTGGGCTTCTGTCCTCTCGGTGTGATTCTCATAGCCGCATATCCTGTGCTTGTGTTTTCCCTTGAGTGTGAGCGCACCATCGTGTCTAAAACAAGTTTCTGTAATCGGAACACTTTCGAGCCCTCACTGCACAATTCTTCCAGTCTCTGGGCTTTCTTCTCTCATTCCCACCTAGATCACCGAACACTGCATCGTTCTCACTCAATCTTGTGCCCCTGCCTGCCCTCATCAATAGCCTGTGCCTTTGGGAGCTTATCCAAAACAAGTCTCTATCTTCTTGTTCTTCTTTCCTCCTCATCCTCTCCTTCTTTCTTTCCTTTTTTGCTTTTCTCTTCTGCTTCTTCTCCCTCCTTGTCTTCATTTTGCTCTCCCTGTCTCTGACTCTGAGATTCTTTTTCTTATTGGAAATTCCCACTGTAAAACACCAGGACAAAAGACAGACTGGATCAGTCTGCACCCTCCAGCCTTCTAAAGTCTCCCACATTTAGACTTCTCTTTTTCCCCCACCATCTTTCCCTGTCATTCTTTTATAGAATTTGCTATGTATAGCCAATTCATGCAACAACAAACATTATATAACAACATTTCCATGACTAATTTTATAGCATTTTTATTGATATTTCATTCACAGACAGAAAATTCACCCATTTAAGGTATACAAGTCCATCGTTTTTGTGTATTCCAAGAGTTGTGCAATCATCACTAAAATCTAAGATGAAGCACTTTCATCTCTTCGGGACAAAACCCTTACCACTGAGCTTTCATTTCCCAGTAGGGCAGCCAATCTGCTTCCTGTCTATAGATACTGCCTATTCTGGACATTTCATTATAAATGGAATCATAAAATAGGTGATCTTTTGCCTGATTTCTTACAATTAGCATGCTGTCTTCTATGTTATAGCATGTATCAATTACACCGATACTTCCTCTCTTTAAAACCATATAATACTCCATTGTATGGACATACTGCAATTTTGTTATTCATGCATAGTTTGGTGGACATTAGCATTGTTTTTGCTACTGGCTGTTGTGAATAACAGTGCTGAGAACATTTGGATACAATTCTCATGTGTGGACATTTATTTCCATTTTTCTGGTGTATGCCCAAGAGTGAAATGACTGGGTCATATGGTAACACTATACTGCACATTGTGAGACAAATCAATCATTTAATTATGCCTTGTCTTTGTAATTTCTCATGGGAAACAGCCATACTCTTCTTAAGTCAGGAGAAGAGAATTTTCAAGTTTGATTTTACATGATGACAAAGAAAAGTTTTTTCTAAAAAGCCTTTGCTCTGCACTAAAATTGCATAGCTCAGTCATTTGTCCTTGTCTGCTGGTAACCTACAACTGGCCTTGCTGCTGATTGGCTGTTTTAATTGAGAAAACTGAATTTGAATAAATGCTGCCTGCTCAAATTTTGTGAAGGAACATACCTGGGACAGCAATTTGCAACAATCCGATCATCCCAACTGGAAAGGAGTGAGACACATGCTTTCGGCAACTATTTCCTGGGATGTTTATCAGTGGCTGGCAATTTTTTTCATGCAAATTTTTTCTCAGGAGTTTCTAAAATATGTTTAATTATTTTAAAGAAAACTAATCAATTAAGGGTTGTGACTTCCTTACTTCTGAAAGGGAAAAGGAAAAGATGGATGTCCAGTGAAGAGATGGCCATTGCTATTTCACTCCTGGTATATCCCCAGAGATGTGTAGTCATCACTAAAATCTGAGTGGAAACATTTTCCTCCCTGTTTACTGCCTACCCGAATGTTGTAGCCAGTTTCTGTGTGTGCACACTTATCCTTAGAAGAGCAAAATGCTTCTGTCTCCCAACTGTGAGTGGGACCATGAGGAATTCTGGTTTTAGCAAACTGCAAAGGCTGCTCTCCTGTGTGGACTTCCCTTCAGTGGAATAGATATGAACCCCGCTTGCATTGCAAGATGAATCAAAAGCCTAAGAATCCACCGACGTACTGAGAGATAGCGATATGATTTTGCTGGGACACTAACTGCAAGATGCAAAATTACACAGTCTTGAAAATGTGTACTGAGGATTCTCTTAGGTGGTGTTCACCCATGAGGAGACTTGGTTTCATGTTCATGTGAATGAAACTGAAGTTGCAAGCCGAGAGTTGTGAGCCGTCGCTCTCCCTCCACCCCCAGTCCTGTGTTTACTGCCTTCCTCACCCACTTTGCGTCGGCAAATCTTACAGACAAGCTAAGTGCTCTCGGCTGCACTACACCAAATCAAAGCTGAGATGAATAATGAACTTAATTTTCCATAAAGACATTCTGTTTGGCATTTCAGCTAATAAGGTAAGCTAATAGCAGTTCTGGGCTGTGGACAGGAAAAGAAATGGACTCTGTGCTTGATTTCTCTGTTAACCCATCATTTTTCTTTTAACATATTGGAGTTAATTGTTATGTTTTGGGATGTCTGAGACTTGGGGATGAACAGTTTTATGAAGAGTACCCCGGGGCACCCTTTGTCTGATGAGGTTGCTTACGGAGCTGGAGGGACTGAGGGAGAAGCTCAGCTCTTTAGTAAGAATGCCGTCCGTGTAGTTCTGTTATCGTCTGAAGTGCAGAGTGGATTTAGTTAAAGAGCAGCATTTTTAGATGCAGCAAGGGTTGACTAAATTATTGAAGCACTGGTTGCTGAAGATGTTTACCATGATACAGTGTAAACTGAGGTTGAATTTGCTACAAAGAAAACAAAATACATACATCATGTTGGTTTCTGAATCATTGCATTTCTAAGTACATGTTATTCTAGAGAAGGTAGTAATTTTCAAGTGCTAAATTTATTCCACAGCTTCTGTTTGAGTAGGTTTTGTTTTGTAAGATTGCATATTCAAAATAGTAACATACCGCTAAGGTAAATTTCTCTTATTCCTTTGGTGATTTACCATGGCTACAGTGATTTCAGTTCATATGGAAAATGCACTTGTCCACTAAGTTCATTGAATTAAAAATAATCAGGTCTTTCTGAGACTCTTATCACTATCTTGGCTGCTATATTTTAGAATAGTCAGTGACAATACAGTGGTGGCAATGGTGATATATAGTTCACTTTCTGTGACACAGCTTTTTGGTGTTTAGTACCGGGATGTTGATTTTATTCCGATCATAGCACACATCCTTGAAACTAGCAATGGCCTAGCAAGATGGAGAAGAAATTACAGTTTTTTCTATAAAAATGGCAAAAATGGAAAACATAATTAAGATTTATATTTTTAATGCATTCTAGGCTCTCTGCCATGTCACCTGAAAATCAGGGACCCTATTCCCTCAAAGTAGGTGACCTCAAAAGATGTTTCAGAAAGTGTATTCAAAAACAGCCGAGGTACATGGGAAAATTTTGGAGAAATAGAAAAAAGTATTCCTTCTATTCCTCCAGTCTCATCTTTGCATTCTGTTTTTTATGCATGGGAAATGATCTTTGCTTATGTTCCATAGAAGTCTTTAAACATCACCCTCAGACTTTGTAGATAAAGAACTTTTATCTTTTCCCTTTACATTTTTTCCATGTTTGTTGTTCCTAGAAAAATAAATGAGATGCTAAGAGTTTGAGCACAAGTATTTACCTACAAATAATGACTTAGTTCCAGCTAAATATCATTCATGGCCCACCTACAAATTTTATACATTTCTCTTGAAACACCACTGATTTAGTAAAAACATACAAGAAGTAGGAGTGTGGAACTTTAGTCTATCACAGTTAATTTTTAAGAATCAGACAGGCATATGTTACCTTTTCATACTCCAAGGTTTTAAAATATGTTCGATTTCACTGCTATTCCCTGTGGAGCTACATTGAAAGCGCAGTTGGTTGTGTTGGATTTGAGAGATGTTGATTTCTCTAATTCTGCTTTTTCCCCTTTCCCTCTCTCCAATATTGGGCACCCAGAACCCTTGGATAGCCACTTGTTCATTTTAAACTGATAGAAGCAAACTAGAAAACAAACCTCTGTAACCACCAAATTCTTACTGTTTGTACCATGAGAAGGATTTTATACCAGCGTAACTCTTTATCCACCATTGCCGCCTGACGTGACAGTGATAATATGCAGGGCTCCAGGTCAGCATCCTCCTCATGATCTTCTTACTGCAGTGGTAAATGAAATGGAAAGTTGTCAGCCCTAGAAGGTATTTTTGGCAGTGGGAAAGGCAAGGCATGTGTTATTTACACACTCACACATTATCTCTGTGTTAGTGAAGTTACAGAGAAATCTAGAGAAACGGTAGCATCCTGCATACATGCACAAGTGCATGTGCACACACACACACATGCTTAGCAAAGATCAGGGAGTGGCACCATCAGCACAGATGGCCTGCCATCCTCAGAAGTTTTTGGCACAGTGGCAAAGAGGCCTGACAGGAGGCAGCAGAAAGGTCTGTTTCCAGATACACATGAAGCAATTCTTAGGCGTAGCCAGAATTAACTGCAGGAAGAACTGAAACCGGCTATTCCTATCAGTGTGACCTCATTTATGCTCACAGACTGGGGGACCCAAGCATATCTGGGTTATGAAAATAAAGACATCACTCAAAACCTATCATAGCTAAATGCACTTGGGCGCCCTCCCCTGTTTCTCCTACCTCCATAAACAACACCACCGCCTACCTTTTAATTATCAGTTCAGAAATCTGGGGGACAACCTTGGAATCTTCCTGCACACCCCTTGCATGTAATGTCTCAAAGCAGACATGCAGAAGTTGATCAAGTGAATGAATGAGTGGAAAAAACACCAGGTTCTATTCATCTTGTGTCCACCCCCTTTTCTCTCCATTCCTCTGCATCATCCCAGTTAAATCTCCACCACTTCTTGCCTGTTATTGTAAATGTCTCCTGTGTGATCTTCCTGCCTGTAGTTTTCTCTCAGTCCAATCCATTCTGCATACTAGAGCCTGAATGATCTTCCTAAAATGCAGAGTCATGAAATCCTCTGCCTAAGAATTGTTCAGTGTTTCCCCTCTACCCTCAGGAGTCCTGAGTTACAGGCTTTGACATCAGCAGGGACATTTTTCCTTGCAGCCTCATGTCCTAACTCTTCCTCTGTCCACTCTGCATTTCCGCCAAGTGATCTATTCTTCGCTCTCTCATAATGTTGTGTGTTTTTGCCAAGGACCTTTTGGGAAATGCTTCCTCTTTTACATCTTCTATGCATTCACTCCAGCTACTCCTCTCCTCTTCCCACCTCTTAGTCCCAACTAAGGTGACCCTTCCTCTACAAAGCCCTCTATGACCACCAGGTTGGAGTCAGGTATCCCCTTCCATTATGTGCTCATAATACCCATTTCTCCTTGTTGTACTTCCTGTTTCCTATAGGATTTCCTCTTGCCAACTCGCCCACTAGCCTGTCAGTTCCATGAAAGTGGTCCTGTGTCTCTTATTCATAGCTGTGACCCACAGTTTAACACATTGCCCCACATAGGTGCACAAACAGCTAGCTGGCTTCTCAACAACCTTTATTACCATTTGTCTTGATGAGGCTGAAGTAACTGAATGTAATGATTCTTTATGTTATTCATTTCTGCAAAGTATTATGCTGGGGTGGTTCGCATACATTCTTTAATTTTCACGCCCTAATTCCCATCCTATACATGAGGAAATGAGATTTAAGCTGCCAGAAGTGACACTGGTATTAAGGACTGGGCCTGTGGCAGCCAGCTTTTCATCACTGTAACAAAATACCTGGAAAAGTCAATTTAAAGAAAAGATTATTTGGCTTATGGTTTCAGCAGTTTCAGTCCATGGCCTGCTGACTTCTTTACTCTGGGCCTGCGGGGAGCCAGAGAGAAAGACAGATGGAAAGAGTGAAAGGGGCTGAGGACAGGGTGCGCCCTTCAGAGTCACATCCCCAGTGACACACTTCATCCAGCTGGGCCACACCACTCAGTAGCCCAGTCAGCTGTGGACTCACCAGTGCCCTGACCCACTGGCCATGCCCTCGTGGTCCAATCATCTCTCCAGCCACCATTGGTGCCCACTGCTTCCTTCGAGATCAAGCCCTCCGTATATGAGTCTTTGGGGGACATTTCATATTTAAACCCTGACACGCCCCCTGGGTCTGGTTGATTCTGGGCACCAGCTCTTTCTCTTTTCCCACAGGGCTCAAAGCCTCCTCCATTTGAAGGAGGCTTCAATACTGTATAGCGACTGCACAAGAATCCAGCATTTTCCCCAAATGCCAGCACTTGCTTGCTTTCTGACCTCCAGCAGTCTGCCCGAGTGCGTTTTCCCTCACTGAGATCTGAGAGCACCTCTCCCTGTGCTCTACTACTCTTTGCTCTCAAGCGTTCTCCTACAGCCCCTGTGTCTCTGGCAGCTTTCGGCCTTCCTCTTTCCCTGCAGTGAAGGCAGTGCGCCTCGCATGTCTGTCTTGTGTCCATCGTCCTTTCCGATGGGAGTCTTTCCAGGGCCCGCTCTGTGATTACCCTTTCCATTGCACCTTTGCACGAACTCAGTCAGTCCTTTATGTTCCTCGGCCCCAGCCCAATAGCGGCCTACTGAGGGGGATCCCACTCATCCCTCATTGGAGAAGCAAAATGCTGCTTGTCACCACCCAGCCACTTAATTAGCAGTCCTCTCTGCGGAAGAAATATCCAGAGAAAGGACATGTACAACCTCTTGGAAATTTCAGTTTTGTGCTGACAAGGATAGACTTAGAGCCCTTCAGATCCAAGCCAACACGCAGGAGCACAGAGGGGCCAGACTGTGATAGACGATGCAAGGTTGCATGGGTGAGCTAACACAAGTGAGACGGCCAGAACCAGACTGGCACCCTCTCCCTACTGTTTCTCTACCTATGTGGCCAGAGCAAGGTACTTACATTTCCATGCCTCGGTTTCTTCATCTGTAACATAGTGATAATAATGGTGTCTGCCTCATAAACTGATGCATGCCACAGAGCGTTCCACCAGTGATGGTGGCAGTGCAGTAAGTGGGATAATGGCACCAAGGTTGCCTCGATCCTAATCCTGGAAAACTAGGAATGTTACCTTCTGTGGCGAACATGTGGACCCAGTAACAATGTGGAGTGGGAGATTTCCTGGATTACCCGGGTGGACCGTGAGTGTAGTCACAAGTGTGATCGCAGAAGCACAGGGAGGTCTGAAGATGAAGGAAGGGACCCCGAGCAGCCAAGGAATACAGAGCTACACAGTGGGAAAGGTGAGCAGAGAGCCTCCCGTGGAGTCTGCAGCGGGTGCTCAGCCCTCCATGTGCCAGCGCGTGGAACCTGCGTAGGACTTCTGGCCTCTGGAACTGTAAGAGAATCAATGTGAGCTGTTTCTTAGCCACTGAGCTCACCGTGATTTGATACAGCAGCCAGAGGAAACTAATACAGTGGTGATATTTTGAGAAATGAAAGATGACCTGAAACTAGCTGACAAAAAGGAATAAAGTGTTAATATCAGGAAGACGATATTAAAAAGGCTGGAGGGGCGGAGAGGTCCCTGAGTGTTCAGTAAGCTCTGGGCTTATGGATGGGGACACCAGAGTGGCCGAGATGATGCAGGAGGCAGTGCAGGGGGAAAGCCGTTTGTGGGACGGCGAGACATAAACGGAAGTGAGGTCTTGGGGACAAGGGGCGACAGACAGAGGGGACAGTACAGGGTGTGAGCAGGCAGTAGAATCCCTGTTCAGAAGGAAAGGACTAGGGGCTGCTGTGCAGACCTAGCCTGCATGTGAGAAGACAGGACCTGTGGCCCAGAAACAAAAGGAGATGGGCTCCGTTGTTCTTGGTGCCATGTGAGTGAGAGCAAAAGGCAGTCCAGGGAAGAAGTCCTGAAAGAGATCACCTGGCTCTTTACACAAGTCAAGACTCTCACTGGTGCAAGTCTGAGCGCTTTGGATGTAATGTATTTCTAGCAGCACTGGAGACACCCGAGGTCCAAAGTGAAGCGTGCTCTCCTGGTAGTACATGCAGCTTGTGTGGGAGCCCACTCTGCTCGTGCCCCCGTGCCCTGTTTCTTCTCCTCCGAAGCCCCTCTTCTCCCTCTCCTCGGTCTTGCCCGTCACTCGGGTCTCATGACAAGTGTGACCTCCTGAGCTAGCTCCACGCTGATACTGCCTACCGTGTACTTTCTCACAGTTCCCACACTGTGCTGTAACCACACTTGAGCTTCCTTCTCTCCCCTCTGCATCCGCTTCACCCCGCTTGCCAGTAACCAGACAGATCGCTGGGGAGCGTGTAAGTCTGTGGACGCTGCGTCTTCTGCTCCCTCGGCCCCTCACTTGTAGGAGGCATTCAGCAAATGCCAATGGATGAATAGAGGAATCGATTTGTTCACTGTATTCTGTGGGCACAGTTATCATAGGATGAAGAAACAATAAAGTGTGTATAGATCCTGAGTTAGTGTCTAAAGCAAATAAGTCTTTCCCCACTAACCTCACAGAAGCAAGAAACACCAGATTCGCAATTATTTTGCTTTGGAAAGATGAATTTGTCATGGTCAATGCAAAACTAAGAAATGGGTGCAACTAGCATATTTTCATTACAAAAGTACATAGTAAGTGGGCAAACATGGCATGTTCACATGTGGTATATGAGCAATCTTATATGAATTAAATATATCATGAATAATAGAAATTGTTTAGTGTTTGCCTTTATCACTGTCCCACGGCTTCCATAATCTGGAGTGTTTTGCTTTCTCCAGATTAAATTATCAGTTATGGCTAATGTTTTTTGCAACTCAATATTTTTCAAAGTTCTGTTCGTGAAAAGAAGGTGGGTGCTGCTAGATAAAATATAGGATTAGTAATATCCATTGCTTGCCAAAATTAATGTATCTTCCACCCGAGTCACAAACCTTATGCAAAATAGAATTGGAAAGAATTGTAAAAGAAAAATATACCCACACCCCATCTCATTTCTAGATGTTTCATTTCTAGAGAAAATAAATCAATATTCTAAGTTACTGAGGTGGGAGCGCTAATTCATCGTAATGGAAGTTTACACCTCAAAAGGAAAAAAGAAAGAAAACAGCATACGCTTGGGCTCCAAAGTCCTGTTGCATCATCACTCCCCAAGTTGGAGTGAAGCTGGAAAACACATCCTGAAAGTTTCTTCCAATTGTGCACACTTGGCTCCTCCTCACCAGATCCCTGTGCCATTTTACTAGGAAACTTTCCCTCACACACACAGCAGTTAGAGCTAATGAGAGAGTAAAGCTGCCTTTGTGTTAGAAATGGATTTGTTTTTCCCCTCATTCTGAGCTCTCCTGTAGCAGCCCCAGGGCTCAAAAGCCTGCTTCCTGGTTCATCATTAGCATTTATCACTTTTACAAAAAGCCACAGGGCTCTCAGAAGAAGACCAGACTGTTCAAAAGAGAGCTCGAACTCCTCGCTGGTCATGGGGGTGGCCAGGCCACTAGAACCATGTGCAGAATCAAGGGAAAGGAAGACACAGTTAATGATGAGACAATTCTCATCCTGTCAGAGGGCCGTGGGACTGAGACTGCTTTCTGGCCATTACCTGGCTGCCCGCTGCGGAGACCTCAGGTCGGGAGTGGGAGCAGGTGGCAAACCCCATCTGCAACAGGCCAGCTATTCAAGTCACAGCGCAGGAGGGGTGACAAGTGCTAGTCTCCCTCCGTGGGCAAAGCCATTGTCCTGCAGCCTGTGTGCCAGTATTGAAGGCCAGAATAACACATGGTGAGAGAAGAAAAGGGTCTAATGCGGTCACCTGCAGACAGATAGACCTGTGCCCGCACATCGGACCTGATTTCCTCTTTCATATTACCCAGTAAACACAATTTCCCCCTAAAGTGTGCTTTTTAATAAAGAAAGTCAGTAAGATCCCAAAAAAGGTGCGCTACTGCAGGTGGGAAAGTGACACGCTGGGTTTCATTTCCTCCTGGTATCCTCACCCTTCGCCATCAGCAGTGCCACTGAGATCGGAACACTGATCTTAATCTTCCACGTTTCAACTGACGACAGTCCTCCGGTGTCCTGCCTCACTTTGAAATTTCAGGCGATGGTATATTTTTCAGCCAACACTATTTTGATTCTCCTCTCAGACTCATGGAATCGTATGACAAGTTTAAGACTAATATTCGTATTGGTGGCAGATTTTTACCAGCAGTAGGAAGTAGGTCTACAAAGTCAGGTAAAATAGTGACATCAGCTTTGTGTTCATTGTTATAATCATTTTGCCTATCATGTAGCGGACAGTTGGTAAACAGTCGACGAAAGAATGATC